CCCGCCCGGCCTGTGCCTGGCCAGATGCCTTCCGCTGGTTCCTGCGGCTCGCTTCTGGAGCAAGCAGCTCGGCCGAGCCCTGCGCCCAGCCCGTTGGCACAGCTGGGTGCGCCAGCCTCGCGCGCCGCAGCCTCATGCGCCGCAGCCTCGCTGCCTTCCCGCCCCAGCTGGCCGAAATAAAAGTTTGCTGGTTGAGGTCAGTAAGGTTATGGGAGATGAAAGAGCGAACATTCGCTCTTTGGAGTCAAATCCAAGTGATGTACAAGCACACCTCGATGGAGGCGATTCCCTCCAGCAGCCCGAAGGCTAACCCATGGGTGTAGCACTTCATAGCATGGAAATCCAATTAAAGACAAGAAACGTCCCTGCCTGTCAGGGGTTTTCTGCGCTAGGCTGGTAATAGAAACATGGGTCATTGGGAAGGAAGCCAGAAATCACAGATACTTAAGTTAAAATACACTAAACTTCCAAGTACTTCTACTTACTGACTATGTCTTTGAATAAATGCTTGGTCTTGATATGATTAAAAGAGGAGCTTTTGCAATAGCAAGAATACAATTTAACCACAGATCCCTTTTCACATGGTTGTCTTTTTTTTGAAAGGCCCTTATGGTGTACAGCACAGGGGAGGTGTGGTGCCTCTTCAGGACTTGGGCAGGCATTTGCCTCCTTTGGAGTGGAGGATCCTAGTTATTACTGTGTGCTTATTCATAATGCTCTGACAGAGAAGCACCGATGGGGGTGTGGGTGCTGCTCAAGCTCAGAGGAACAAATCCCAAGTGCTGCTCCTAAGAGATCCTGTGAGACAAAGGACCACCTGCAGATATGTAAGGAAATAATGACATCGTACAGGTCAGCGTGGTGGACTCCAGTCACAGTGAATGACACCCTACGCCAGCAGGCTCAGACCGTGTTAGTGAGGCTAGTGGTGCTGCATGATGGAAATGGCAGTGGCAGGGCTGCTAACACTCTCAGGTTTTGCTTTTATTCAGATATTTGACATCTCTCAAATTGATTGAGAGATGAAAAAGTGAGCAAGTTAGAGGGTTAAATAACATGTATCTTGTCATGGAATTAGTTTGGTGCCTACGAAGTGCATGGCAGTGGCCTATAAAATTGAATTCTCCTCATCTGTGGGATGCATCTAACAGTACAGAAAGCTGCACACATACTGCACATTTCCTCCCCCTGTACTTATTCCCCGGTCCTCGGGAAACAGGGAGGATAATTTTCTTTCTTTTTCTCTGTCCAGTCTATGTCCTCTATACTTGAACTACAGGTGAAGGGATGAACTGCGTCAACTGCATCTTGGTGAAATTTAACTGAGAGTCAGTCCACTGCAAGCTAAAGCCATTCCTTATTTCTGGCAGGCCGAAAGCAGCTGTATCTTGCTATTTAAGAAGTTAGCTGAGCCATTTCGTATAGTCACAGGAACTTCCACGGACTGATGTGGAAGCAGATGCTGCACATTGTCATCCTTCATTGTCCTGCATACATCTGACAGAGTTTTTCTTTGAAGCTGAAATATGCTAGTTTTTGTTTGGACCATGTCCATACAAAGAATTCAGTAGTGGTGCTATAAAATCACTGGAATATTGGAATAATCAGTAATATCTAAGGCATAGTGTAAGCGTGGAAGAGTCAAAGATCAAACTGTATCTATGGTACAACAAGAGCAGCAAGGAATTGTTCACACTAGAAGAGATTGAGTCAGAGTTCACTGTCCTGTGTGTTCAAGGCAGCGTGAAGGCTCCAAAGGGGACGCTGCAGTTTGCCACCTATTGGCTTTTCCTGGTATGTCTCCACGGCAGAAAATGGCTGAAATGAAGTTAGTCCTAACATAGAAAATTACTCATCGCATTTTAGCTTGGGGTGTGACTGCTGTGTGCACAGCAAGCACTGAGTGTGGCACTTCATCTCTTCTACTGAGTATCAAGAACAAATATAAATTCCTGTTCTGTTGTTTTATCTGACTCTACCTAGATTGACCTACTCAGTCTGATTTTTTTAAATTATTCCCAAATGGGGAAACGAGGCACAGAGACTGCATTGAAGTCACATATGGAATAGATGGCAGACCTAGAGAGAGTGCACTGCTCTGCTTGCATCCTGTCCTATACCTGAAACTTCATAGCAGATATCTGTGGAAATCCACTCTGAAGCAGACATCCCCAGTGAGAAACAACTGCAGAGCCTCAACGCTATCTGGCTGGAGTGAGGATTTTTTTCATGGAACTGACTCATCAGCAGCAAACACTGGAAATAAATGCTCAGGAAAAAGGTCCCTCCAGGAAAAAACAGGGTATAGAAAAGCAACCTATTTTTAATACATGACATAATACCTATTGTGGAAGCCACACAGCACAATTTACTGATGCACAGTGAAACCAAATCTAGATCAATGGTGCAGTGTGGGTACAACAGCAGTAAAAAGCGAGCTGTCACATGGTGGAGAATACAGGGGCATGGAAAGTGCTGACTGTCATGAGCATTCATCATTAAACAATGTTGCTGTACATCTTGTTTGTGCGTTGTGGGTTTCCCAGCTTGTATGCTTGGAATTAAGCATTTCTTCCAGCACTGTGTTGAGGTAGGCTGTGAGCCTGAAGGAACCAAGTGTTGTAGAGCATTCACTTTATTTGCCAGTCTGTGGCAAATAGCAAGGGCGGGCTTGACCCCTGCCGGAGGCAGGATGTGCTGAGTATGAATTGCTTGTTGTCAAGGCTACAGGACAAGAGGGAAACAGCAGCCTTCCCAGTCTGCCCACAGCCCTTCAGCTGAGCCTGGAAGGGCTTTCTGCTGCCCAAGCCAGCAGAGGCTTCACAGCAGTTCTGTCCATGGGAGCTTGATTCCCTTGGCTGAGTCAACACCTGTGATAGTGAAGAGGGTCTCACCCAGGGTCACTCTCAAGATCTGAATTTTGCTTCTTCGCATTCCTGTGCTTGGTCCTGCTGGGTTGTCGTATACAGTCTTTGGTAGCACCCCCCGAGTGTCTTCGAAGGCAGTAAGCTGGTGATGGCTCCATGAGGCATAAACTTCTGCCAACACTATATAAGACTCTATGAATTGCTTTGTGTCAATACTGAGGTTAAAAGTTAGCAAAATCAGGATTATTTCTTCCCCGTGTTTTCCAAAGCAATATGTACTCTAGTAAGTTCTGTAACAATTAGTATTTTTTTTACCAATAAAGCCTTATGTAACACAATGTATCTGTGCATTGCTTACAAGTACAGTTTTGCATGGCATATGCTGAAGCATGTCCCACATTTAAAAGTCTAGTGACTAGATTTGTCGATGGATAGAGAATTGCAGAGCTGAGATAGCTGCTTTTAGGTGGGAGTGGCCAGCTGCTTCACTTCAGGATTGAATTGTATTTATTCTTTCTGTATTAAATCTGCATAGAGACGTGGTGCACACTGTATATATCATGTGTACACCTACTGTGTACATTCACACACATGGGAGCGTGCATTTTTATGATCCAGAAGTTATGTGCCGTAACTACTGAATCAAAATTGTAGCATTTCTTTAAAGTATTGAAAATCAGGCTGTCATGGTCCTGGAAAAAAAGCTAAGTATTGGCAAAAGATCTGAATTTTCCAGCTGAACTTTAACGTGTGCAGTTGTTTAAACCAGCCTTCCTTTAATGTATACAGCTGTGCCCAGATGGGATTGCTTTCTTCCCAGCAGCTTCCCGAGCCGTTTACTCAAGGTTTTTGTTTTTTCCTCTCATTGCTTATAGTGCCTTTAGACTTATGGTAAAGAAGAGGCAGTTGTAGTTTCAGAGCTTTGCATTCCTCGCTGAGCTGCGCCTGTGTTTGCATGCAAAGCCATTGCCTCCCCTCCAACTATTTTAATCATTTCAGAAAGGGTGGGTCATCAGGCATTTGGCAACGGGCTCCTTTTATATAGCTGAGGTGGAGTCAGCCAATGACCTGCAAGCCTGGAAAATTTTGCAGGGCAGTTTCACTGGACGGCTTTGCAGAGCTGTGCCATTTGAATTTCAGCACAGACATCCACACACTGTGCTCTCCACTTCTGGCGTGTCTCCCAGTGCAGAGTTTAGCTGAGGCTCGGGTTTAGTTTTCCCTCCTCTCTCTCCCTGCAGTGACAGCTTCTCCGGGCTCTGCTAGCCAGGACTCCCAAGCGATCATGGAGGATACTACTTTGCAAATTATCGAGCCACCAACTGCTTCTGAGGCCTCAGAGGAACAAGTGCCTGAAGAACCCATCAAATCAGACCAGATCAATGGTGTGATGGTGCTGACCCTTCTGGACAAGATCATTGGAGCAGTGGATCAGATCCAGCTGACCCAAACACAGCTGGAGGAGAGACAGCAAGAGATGGATAGCGCAGTGACCA